TTTGTTTCTATCTCACAAAGCATCAAATATTCTAATTTCTCTCCCTTTCTGAACGCATTTGGCTGTCCCACTGAAAAGACGAACGTCATTAGAAAGACTTTCTTATAAATATCAAATGTACTTACTAAGTTGCAAAAAGAAACCAATAAGTTTTTCGGCAATGTTTTACGATTCAAAGAAAGCGTTCTTGCTCAATAGTCATTCTAGACAGCATTAATGTAAATGATTTAGAAGTTTACAAAACAGATTGTCGAGAGCATATAATGAGGATTACCATAAACCTATCCATTTCGCAGTATAGAGCCTTACCGTTGTTATGGTAGGAGGGGGATGAAGCGGTCATAACCACAATTTGCCCGAAATAGTCTCTGATAGTTAATTGACATCCTGACTACAATCAAATCCATTCCGCATGGTACGGGTAATCTGCTCAGTACGCAAAAAAATTATCCGAACTCCCTAATGAGGCATGGGTGTTTTTGACCTCTCCGACGCCATCCTACCGTAACCTTTTAGTAAGCTTAATAAATACTGTTTGGTTATAGCGGTGTCAAATAAACTCCCGGTGCACCTTCGGAAAAGTCGTAATTTCGCAGCTCCATCGTTTATTCCGGTAATTCTATAGTAAAGCTCTGCAACGAATGTCTCTCTCATGATTAGCATGTCAAATAATCCTCTGAAATTCCCACAAAATCCGAAGCTTAAAGCTGGAAGGATCAAAAGTCGAAAGATTTCATTTTGATTCACGAGACTCTGCGTTTTAAACGTTTGAATGAATTGCTAGAATATTGTAGCCAAGCAGGTCGCCTTGTATTACGAGAGCTTTCGCAATAGTTGTATGTCATGATATCAAAAAGTTTTAAATTTGCAACTCGTTTGAGTTCTGAAAGAGAAACTGACGAACCTGTTCAACAATTTAATTTTAAACTCTTACGTAAAAATAACATAGTTTAGAAGTTTACAGAGAAAAGTGGGACAGGTATAATTTTCATTGAAATAGAAAGAAAGCTAAACTAAATTCTTGCGTCTGATGTGCTCTACTCCAAACTCTTATACTCTTATACTTCCTCAGTAGTTATGAAAATAAATTCTGCTCAAGTTGCAGGAGTCAACTTCCCTGAAGCTCAAGTGCTCAACTACTTTACACAGGTACCTGAGAAACTGACATGGACCAATGTTTTTGAAGAAAAAGAATCATTTATTACAGATTCTCATTGCTCTTAATCACATCCACTCAAAGCATATTGTGCACAGAGATCTCAAGACACAAAACATTCTATTGAACAGGTAGCCATAAAAGAATCATGAAAGTATTATAACAAATTTACGTGACTATATTGCATAATATTTCATTTAAGGAAAAAAACTCTTGTAAAATTATCCGACTTCGGGATATCAAAAGAACTTACCACGAGGAGTCTCGCA